TTGTTAAACTGTGATTTTGGTTGCTTTCACTGGGAGGCCTACTCCTTTCTGAAGGAAAACTGAGGAACAGTGGATCTGGGGGAGAGGGGAAGTTTGGGGGAACTTGGAAGATTGGAGGGAGGGAAGGCTGTGGTCAAGGGTATTGTATGAGAAAAAAATAAGAAGGAAAACAATACAGAAAATAAAAGATTCAGAATTCACAGTCTCTATCTTTTCAAATCTGTGTGTATTTTAGGTGATTTTGCTGTTAATTAATTCAAGTTGATGCTTGAGGTGAGGCATCCTTGAAGGCCTCCTGTGTTACTTGATTATCGTACTCCCTGGAGTTACTCTCATATTTAGATCGACATTAATATTAGTCACAGATTTCATAATGCATGACTTATGATAAAACCTGATTATTTTATCTCATGCCAAAACCATGTGTGTAAGAGCAAGAAGGCATACTTGTAAATTTTGTTTACTTGATTCTTTTCCTTGTAGCATTAAAGTTGGGAAAGCATGGGCAATTTGGAGTGTAGGCTTATATACGAACATGTCTCCTTTTGAATTTATTGTACCAGAGTGACTAAATTTTGTGTGTGATGATTATACATTTGTATTAATAATAATTCAATTATGTGTGTGTACAAAGGCAAAAAATAAAAGAATTTAAAAAAAAACCTATTCGTGATTATGTTTTAAACCTGTTTGAATAATTAGGTCAATTCTGTATCATCTGGTATAAATTCAGTGGTCTCAATATGCAAGACAACTTTTTCTGCATATTGTGAATCAGTAGCTATATAAAGAGTTTCTTTAAAATCCCTTAGTACCATGAGAATAGCATATAATTCTCCTATTCTGCCTTATGACAGAATTATAAGGGCTTTTCTGCATTTTACTTAAATCTTTTAATTTTTAACTTGCCTTTCCTGATTTATTTGCATCAGTAGAGAATGTACGGGCTCTAGTTATTGGTATGTCCTGCACAATGCAGGAAAGGATCCAAGTGGTTCTCTTTATAAGGTTAATTCTATCACTTTTGGGATAATTGCTATTAATTTCTCCTAAAATATTAGCACAAGCTCTTTGCCAAGGTTTGTTGTCTTCCTATATTTTTTTAAACGTCATCAGTAGTAAAAGGCACTATAATCTCTGCTGGGTCTATACATGCTAGTTGACAAAGTCTCAATTTTCCTTTTATAATTAATTCAGAGACTTTTTCCATATAAGTTTTTAATTTTTTACCTGGTTTATGTGGTAAAAAGATCCATTCTAAAATATCTTCCTTTTGCATTAAAATTCTTGTAGGGGAAATTCTGGAAGGCAATATAACTAGAATGCAATTAAGATTTGGATTCATCCTAACCACATGTGCCTCCCATAATTTTTCTTTAATGGCAATCAATACTTTTCTGATTCAGTTGTTAATTCTTTGGGACTATTTAAATCTTTTTCACCATCTAAGGTTTTGTTTAAATGAACTATTAGATCAGGGGTTATGCCAACAGCTGGTCATATTCTGGAAATTTCTCCTAATGATCTTTGAAAGTCTTTAAGAGTCTGCAATCAGTCTCTCATAATTTGTGCCTCTTGTGTTCTAATTTTCTGTAAACCTATTTTATAACCTAGGTAATTGATAGAATTTCCTCTCTGTATTTTTTCAGGAGCAATTTGTAATCCCCATTTTGGCAAAACTTTCTTTACTTCTTCAAACATTCTTTATAAAGTATTTATGTTTGAATCAGTTAGCAAAATGTCATCAATGTAATGGTAAATTATAGATTTAGGTATTTTTTTATGTGTTATTTCTAAGGGTTAATTTACAACATATTGGCATAGGGTAGGGATATTGAGCATTTCCTGTGGAAGGATGATCCACTGGTATCTTCTAGTAGGCTGGGAATTTTTTATAAGGTGCTGTGAATGCAAATTTTTCTCTATCCTTTCTTGTATAGTATAGTAAAGTATAGTAAAGGTATAGTAAAGAAACAATTGTTTAAATCAATAACTATAAGAAGTCATCCTTTTGGTAGTAGAGAAGAAAGAGGAATTCCAGATTGTAGAGGGCCCATAGTTTGAATTACCTTGTTGACAGCTCTTAGATCTGTTACCATTCTCCATTTACCAGATTTCTTTTTATCAACAAATACAGGAAGTCCAAGGGCTGGTTGATTCCTCAATATGGTGAACATCTAGTTGCTCCTGTACCAGCTATTCTAAAGCCTGCAGTTTGTTTTCTGTTAAAGTCCACTGTTTATTCCATATTGGTTTCTCAGTTAACCATTTTAAAGGTAGGGCCATTGCTACCTCTAAAGGTTTGCTAGTTGCTTTGTGTTCTTGTACAGCCTGAATGGCTGGGGACCTTTGTGTATAGTAACTTATAATGAGTTTCTGGGACTGCAGAAATGTTAATCTGGTCATTCCATTTTCTTAAGGATGTAATATGAAGAAAAATACTGAGTCCCAATATTCAATAAATGGATATATCACAAAAACCATATAAACTTTGCAAATACAACCCATAGAAACAGCAAAAAGGTTACTGAAATTCTGCATGTTAATGTTCTCTGCATTTATATAACTTTCAAGTTTATTGATTAATTAAAAATATTTCCATATGTTTTGAAGTCCAGTAAATTGTTTTAGGTGTAATAATATTTATTGTCCAGCAGGTGTCATGGTTGCAGAGTTGCAACCAGAGATGGCACAAACAATGGCACCATGAATGGTTCTGTACGGCTTTGTTTTTCTGCCATGGTGCTGGTTAAATACTGCAAATATGTTTTGCTTGACAAATTAAAAGCAATTAAGTCAATTCCATACACAGAGCAAAGAGCCCAGAACTTCAGAGCAGGGAGTACAAACCAGAAGCTATGCATATTACCACACGGTAGGGAATGCGGCAGTGGGGGGAATGTGCATGAGCTTGGGAAGTTTCAAAGTCACCATATACACTTAGCTCCACTGTGGCAGGGTTTTACAAAAAAACACTTAGGTAAAAACATGCCAAGTGGGAGGGAGTGGGAGACCTGGGCTGTAGACCTTTTGGGCTTTTAGGTATGGAGTTTGGATCCACATGGGGTGCTAGATGAAGATGGATGCTAAAGAGAAATCCCACACTGGCTCAGAATTAAGTATAGTAAAGGGTAATTTATTTAGGGGATAGACTCACAGAGTAGACTGTACATCTGATCCCATCAATGGCTAGATGAAGTCTCTCTCTTTGATGATGATTTTACTAGGTTCCAGTCCCAGAATCCTCTGCAGGCAGGAAAAACTGTAGGTTGAAGGTTTTGTGACTAGGTTGGAGTCCAAATCCCTCCACTTGTGGTCTTGCCTAGTTACAGAAGATGGCTGGTTCAGGCATATTTCTACCTAACTCTTGTATCTTAAATTAACCTTTTTTTTTTTTAGGATTTTTTTTTTTTATTGAGAATAAGAAAAAAAAAGTTTCCGCCTCCTCCCAGCCTCCCATTTCCCTCCCCTCCCCCCACTCTTCTCCCCTTCCCCCCTCTTCTTCCCCTCCCCCCACTCCTCTCCCCCTCCCTCTCCAATCCAAAGAGCAGTCATTGTTCCCTGCGCTGTGGAAAGTCCAAGGTCCTCCCCCCTCCGTCCATGTCTAGGAAGGTGAACATCCAAACTGGCTAGGCTCCCACCAAGCCGGAACATGAAGTAGGATCAGAACCCCTTGCCATTGACCTTGGCTTCTCATCAGTCCTCATTGTTCGCCATGATCAGAGAGTCCGGTTTTATCCCATGCTTTTTCAGTCACAGTCCAGCTGGCCTTGGTGAGCTCCCAATAGATCAGCCCCCACTGTCTCAGTGGGTGGGTGTACCCCCCGTGGTCCTGACATCCTTGCTCGTGTTCTCCCTCCATCTGCTCCTCATTGGGACCTTGGGAGCTCAGTGAGCTCAGTCCAGTGCTTTTTCAAGACAAAGTTTCTTTGTACCTTTGGAGCCTGTCCTGGAACTAGCTCTTGTAGACCAGGCTGGCCTCGAACTCACAGAGATCTGCCTGCCTCTGCCTCCCGAGTGCTGGGATTAAAGGCACGTGACACTATCATCTGGCTTAAATTAACTCATTTTTATTAATCTGTGAACTACCATGAGGTTGTGGCCTACCAGTAAGATTCTGCCTAGCAACTGGCATTTTTCTCCTTCAACAACTACATGGCATCTCTTTAACTCCACCTACTTTCTCTATATCTCTGTTTGGATTTCCCACCTGGATGTATTCTACTAAGCCATTGGCCGAAACAGCTTCTTTGATAACCAATGGTAATAAAACATATTCATATCATAAGGAGGGGGATCCCACATCAACGTCTAAAAACTTGAAGCTTTAATGAATCATTACAGATTAAAGTGATGAGATGATACTTTATGTACCATGGGATTCCACCATTCTCTGTTGCTACACTGCAGAAAATGAAAATGCAATTCATAGGAAGGAATCTGATGTGGTCTGAATATGAACTGCCTCCCACAGGCCCATGTGTTTGAACAGTTGGTCCCTTGCTAGTGACATTGGAATAGTGAAATGTCAAGGAGGTGAAGCCTTGCTGAGAAAAGTGGTTCCTGGAGGGCAAGTCTTGTGGTTTCATAGCTTAGCCATACTTTCTGTTTGTTCTCTGCTTCTCAACTACTGATTCAATGTGATCAGCTTGCCTCTTGCTCTTGAAGGCATACACTCCATGTTATGATACTGTTGTCATGTTTTTCTGATGCTACGGATGAAACCCAGGGCCTCACATATCCTCATCAAGCATTGTATCACTCAGTCACATCCTAGCCTGAAAGACCATAATTTTGTTTTCTTAGACTGAAACAAAATGGTATTAGAATTTAAGGGACCATTTTCTTAGGTTTTCCAGGATAGTAATTGGCTTTCTTCAGATTTGTATGTACTACAGTTTTCTTTTTCTCTTCTTCCTCTTTTGATATCTTCCTGTGCATTTACTGTCTTCATTGGGCCCTAACAGATGTCTGATATACCAGCTTAACTCATCAGGACACACAGGCCTGGCATCTTGTCCAACACCTGGATGATACCCATTTTCAGAGTAAGTATCTCATTTTCCTTTTGGTTTAAATGGTCTTTGAATGAAAAAGAAAATTACAATGGGAAATTGTGGATGGCCAGGGAAAAGAGCCATTTTGGATAATATGTCTTATAATTGGAGTAATTTTGACAAACTCAGGCTGTGTGGAATTCCCATACACCACCCCCTGCTCTCTTAAGTTAGAGAGGTTTTCTCTTTACTAGAGGCCTCAGCTGGTCTGTTCATTCTGCCCAACAGAAAGGATGTTGAACTTCAGTGAAATCATGCGTACTGCTCTGAGAACCATGCTTTATTCTGCCTTGGTGAGTCTAGATCCTTTATAGCTCAATCAAAAACAGAGTGGATCTGGGAGTGGGGAACTAGTCATGGTACTCTGTCATGACTTTGGTACTGGTTTCTACATTTATGTAAAGTTGACTTTATATTTTCTTTTCACAAACAAAGGGGCAATAACTTAGGTTTAATATTGATAGAGCTTGACCACTTTCTTGCTTTATATTTTGGGTAGATACGGTGACATTTTTCCTTTTAGTATATTGAATTGTGCTACAGTATGTAATATGGTTGATAGCTGCTTCATAATAGCTGGAGGGGTATGTGTATGTATACATGTATGCTTGTGTGTCTGTGCATGTGTGAGGATGTAAACATCTCTACATTGCCCTACTGGACTCAGATGGCTGAAGCAATTACCCCACAATCTTAGGTATCAAAGATATTTGTGCAGAGGCTCACCATGTGGAGCAAGGCATCATGGATAGAATTTTTTGATACTATAGGAGGACAGGTAGCATGAGCTGGAGCTTTGCTACCAGAGTGAAGCTCAGTTTTGCTTCTGCTATGGAAACAATATAAAACAGGATAAGAGAGGTTTATGGAAAATTTAAGGGGGCATTCACACTTTCAGGTGATACCCTGTACTTGTACAATCCTGAGAGAGAATGCCTCATTAATTTCCCACACAGGTGTCTCACTTCCTGACTCCGGTCTGGCTGTGCATAACCCTGGACAAGTCACTCATTTCTCTTAGTTTTTGTTCTCATCTGTAAGAACTGGGAAGGTACTAAAATCCATCTCATGGGCTTGACACGAAGTTTAAATAAATGGGTGTTTATAAAATTTTTGACAGTGCTTGGGGCCATGCCCATTATTAATTTTAATTGACCTATTGTTGTGCATCTTGGCTAACCCACTTAGTCCTTGAGAGAAAAAACAAAAAAGGAATTGAGGAATACTTAGAAGTGACTTCATTTAGGAGATTTTATTTTTCTTTAGAGTTATTTCTTCTTTGGAAAAAAATATTTTAAATCTAGTACAAATTACAATTTCTCGCAGTTGTTGCACCAAGCAAAACCAGGAATGAGTCTGAGGGTGGAGGTGTGGGAATATAGAGTTACAGGCAGGTCAGAGCTGGGCCCTCGTGAGAGTGAGTACTTCATTTTCAGACCAGGAGACCAAATGTCTCACTCAGAGAGCAGAGCAGCAGGATGTGGGTTGAATGTGTCAAGTGCCCGCTCAGGAGGTAGTTCAGGGTGGCTCCCCTGCCAGTTCTGCCCCTGCCTGTCCCTGTGGGCACTCACTTAGCACAACTCCCAACAGCTCACACAGTTTGCTTGGCCAGCCAAGTATTTCCCCCACATTTGAAGGTTTTGGATGGAGACTGACCATGGTGCTCAGCGCCTGGATAAAGAGGAAATTTGAAATCTGTTAGAACACTGGTGTGTAAGGTGAGAGGCTCTCAGGGATTGTTATCCCAATCGCTATTCTTGCCCTGTTATTCTGATCAAAACAAAACCTCAAAAACCTTATGCCCCTTTTAAGCCCTCAAGCTTTTGTCCTTAACTATGTACTGAAGAGCCCATTTGGTGCCCCCTCCCCCAACAACTCTTCTGTTTTGTACTTGGTGACTAAAAGACAGTGACAGTGATTGTTATTTTCTTGACCTCTAGTTTCATTGGACTGTCTCTTGCTTGTTAACATATAAGCTTCCCATCTCAATTTCTCAGTATAAAATAAGGAACCGGGTTTTGGACTGTTTCGTAGGACGAACCTCTTCTGAGACGACTGTGACTGTGTGTGTCTGCCTGTGTACATGTGTGTGCATGTGTGTCTGTGAGTGTATGTGCAGGCACATGTATAAGGGCTATCTCAGGCTTGGAGATGATGGCAAGTCTGTGTTATCGCTGTACTCACCACTCTGAACTCTGCTCTAGGCTAGTCATCACTTAAAGAGAACCAGGGCAATTCTCTGTTCTCACCGCCTGTGTCCCTGCATAGGCATTGGTATCAACCACTGCCTTCTTGCCAAGTCTGAGTCTTTAGAGCCCTCGGAGAGCAACTACTACTGTAACCTTTCGACTATTCTGAGCCACTGGTCATCAAATGGAGGACAAGGACTTTCTTGACCTGAAGAAATTAAGAAGGTAGTTTGCTACTTGATTCCTAGAGGAAAGATTTGTGTAGTGGGCAAACAATGCACAGTGGTAAATCAAGTGTGGGACATAGAAGGACATGTCAAGGGCCAACTGGAGAAGGCCCCTCTGACATAGAAAATGCCACTTGCGAGGCTACCTTAACTCAAATCCCTTAGTGTGTTGAAGGAGTAGTAGGGGTGGCCTTGCAGGAAGGGGGAGCTATAGATGAATGAGTGAAAGGGTTCAGCAATATTTATTTACTACTCCTGTAATAGTTACTTAATTTACAAATATGAATGTTAATGGCCTGTTTTTGAATCAATGAAAATAGTATTATTGATCTATTTTAAACGTTGAATTTGTGGCCTCTATATTCTTTTCTTTGTTAAAAAAGCAAAGATGGAGTTTTATAGCTGGTTATCTAGTGCAGAATTATAAAGTACAAAGGACTCTCAAATTAGAAATAAGATAAAGCTTGAAAGATATATAAAGTGATTGTCCCGGATAATTTCTATGCACCATATGAATGATTAGCTCATTTACCAAATATTTGACTGCCTAATATATGCCTGGTGCCAGCTGTGCTACACAAGGATCTGGGTAGAAGCCCATCTATGAGATCATGTGACTAGTTAAGCAAGTAGACTCATGGTCCCAGCTATTGCATTCACCTCTCACATGGATATCCAAGATATGAGGGTGTCTTGTGGACATCGTCTCTTCCTGTGCTTCAACCAGGTCCATGGAGTAAATATTTCACCCAGTCCTCCAGGTGGAGGGGCTAAAACCTTTACAAATAGGAGCTAACTATAAATTTGATGCCCTTTCCATGTTGGATGTATTTGCCAAACAAGAAGAACTGGAGTTTGGGCTTGGTGTTGATAACAGTAAGCTGAACAGCTCAAGTCTGTCACTTCTCCATTACGGGTTCCTGTTTCCCCACCTTGGAAGTCCAAAATGGCTTCCTTTTTAAAGATGCGATGAGCTGCCTGTACTCTTTAGGTTTGACCTCAGCTAAGCACTGCTAACTGGGGGGGATCTGTGGAGGTTGCCACTCACCTGTAGTTATTTCTCTATGTTCAAACACCTGATAGAGACATCTCATAGCGGAAAATTTCATGAAGGGCTTTACCAGTTAGGGCTTCCTTCTTGTAAAGTCTTGTACAAGTGTTGCTTATGTTACTGGAGGAATCTGACTTAACCTGCCTATAAATAAATGAACTTGATTAGTATATCAGGTCAGGCCCATCCATGTTTCCACCTTTGTTTTCTCTGTGCAGAAATCAGTGTTGAAAAGCTGCTTGTGGGTCCAGGAAATGAAAGCTTCGGTGACTTCCTAACCCAGCATTTACATATTCTGGAGAGAGATCTGCTGTCATTTAGGGTTTTTGTTTCAGAATTTAGCATCCCTAAGCCCTGAAAAATGAAACTTTTTTCTGAGAGGAGATGATACCAAGGTAGTTCCAGGCCCAATGCGTCAGACATCTCTCAGGATTCAGGCTGAAGTTAGGGATGTAGATTAGTTGTAATAAAATAAAGCTTTTGATAAGTAAATATGACACACTTAATTGAGTGCATTGACTTATAGAGAGTTTAAGTCAGGTTCCGGCAGCAGCTGGGATAAATCCTTCTTTTCTAGTCCAAAGAGAAATCTTGTGCAGCGTTTTGCATGAAGGGAGCCCCCTTCATGATAAACATGAAGCATAAACCAGGAAGTACTCTGCCTTTTCCAGGAAATTCAGATGACTGCTCTTTGAGCTATTTAAAGAAACATCCCAGAAGCATATTCTAGTCTCTTTAATACATATCTTTACAAGTAAAACTAGGGGTGGACAAGTGAAAACCGATTTGCGGTTCTTAAAGGAACCAACACAATGAGATATAAAATTCAGGCTGGGCAGACTGACACATGTCCCAATTTCTGAAGACTCCTTAAAAATAAACACCAGCTTCCCCAGCTCTACTCTTGTTTTATTTTTCTTCTTTTCTCTCACAGAAGAAAAGATGCCAAAGACAATTGGGTCACTTTAACGTTTGCTGTACTTATTCCTCTTTTCTGATTTTAACATAATATCCAAACAAAGTGTCCACTCTTCGATTTGGGTGTGTGCTTGTGGCAAGGATGAAACGCCCGCTCATTTGAAAGGGAAAGTAGGTGGTCACAAATGACTGCGTAGTGTTGTGGACAGAATAAGAATGGCCTTGGAGTCATTCCTGGTCTGACATCTTGGTTCTTGTGTCTGCACTCTGTGGGACTTTTGCCATGGCCCCTGGTTGTCTTTGTGCTCCCATTTCTGCATGTACAAAGCAGAACGGTGGAAGCTCGTGGTAGGAATGCTGCTGAGTATGATTAATTACGTGACATGAATTACTTTATCCCTGTTTTCCCCATTGTGAATGTTGTAAAAGCCATGAGGGCAAGAGGCAGAGATGCATAGGAACGGTCACGGTAGGATGATGCTTCTCAATCCCATGTGACTAGGGGAGGACTTTATGGATAGCCAGAGGAAGACGGAATGGAATTACCAGTTGTAGAAGACCCCTCATAAGCCCTTCCTTTTGGAAATGGTGCCTGCTCTGTTAGCC